TGATGCTATAGAGGTGTTGGCAAATTCCTGTCTGTTATGGGGATACAAGGATCTTCTTTCATGGGTTGTCACTTGAAGTATGTTGAAGCCAGTGCAAGTATAAAGCAAGATCTTCCTGGTGCTGTGAAACGTCCACCTTTGGCAGTGACTTTAGAAGTGCTGCTGTTCCTTTCAGCTGCTACAACTTTGTCATGCATTGCATTCCAGCTTATGGGGATTGCAAGGTAACTTAGGCTGTATTTGGAAGCAATTTCTTTTATTGAGCAGTTGCCAACTTCGAAGGCTTCATTTGCATCTTGCATTGGTGCATCTCCCAGCTGCGTATGTGTAGTCCAGATTTTGAAAAGGACATAGATTTATGGGACCTGGCATGCAACAGGAGAATTGGTAACTTATTTTTAAATGAAAACTTTTCTTGCAAATTTTTGAGCCATTCAGAGAATATGGTAGGGTGTTGATTTTCATTCACCAGGAGATCAGATCCTACCGTGTCCCCAGCATTTAATAACTATTTGAATGTCACTGGAAAAGCTGTAAAATGGAATGTGTATGTTTCTGCTAGTTCTAGATAATTCATAATGAATTTTTATTGACTAAACCACTGCAAAGCAGGCATCTTAGCCATATAATATTTAAAAGTAATATTTGGGGAATTAGATGCCTTTCAGCAGATTGATGTTATGCTGTTTCATTGTGAAACACTAACTTGGCAAACTGTGGCTCCCACTGGTGCAGTTTAAAGGTATTTAATCTGTGGATTTCCCTGTGATTATGCATGTGAAAGTGAGGTCCAGTAACTCACATCCTTATAGCTGTGGACATAATATGAGCAATACCTCTTCAGATATTTAGCAGTTTGAGCCCGTAGGAAAGAATGCAAAGATGTTAGATGGAAATATGGATCATGAAAAACTGAAGTTTTGTAGTTTCTGGTGCAGTTTCTATTCACTTAACAAATTGCTCTTTATGAAAATAGCCTCCCCTTCTGCAGCCTGCCTGGGAATGGAAGTTGAGTTCTTCACAACCCTGTAGAAAAGAAACTATTATCAAGATCCGACCTTGGTACCACTTTGCAGTGTGAACACATTCCTGTCTGATCGAACCTGTGCATTTGTTTAAAAATAAGTTTTTAGTCTGAGAAGGGGACACTGCACATCTGAAACCAGACCCTGAAAGGGCTTAACATCAGCAAACCACTTGAGGCTTTTGTACTTTCATAGCCAGGGCTTTCTGCTGGAGGCAGAAAGGTGTTTTGGAAGTCCACTGTCCCTTTCAGATGTGTCCTTGTTGCTGTATGGGAGGACTGCACTGTGACTACTCCAGTAATAGCCTGATGTGATTAGCAGTTGAATTTTATGAAGGTGATTGACGTGCAGCCCACCTCTTCTAATGAATTCCTTGTAGTTGTCATTGTGTGCTACTTTGTCAGTTCATTATGGGCCTTTAAAACTTGGGAGGTATGTATTCCTTTACTTACTCAACTGACTTGTTGTCACTAATTGATATTTATGTAAAACATTGATTAGTCTTTTCCATTAAAAAATAATTGCAACCAAAGGATGTGTTATGTCTCATTTGCAAGATGGTTGACAAAAAGTGCAGTGGCACAGGTCCTGGTTGGCCTCTGTCTGGGAGCTGCTGCAATTGTGCTTTCATACTCAGATGAGATTCGTGTGCTTCAGTTCATTTCACCACTGCCTGGAGCTGCATGGAGCTCCACTGGGAAAGGGGAGAAACCCTGGGACAGGGTACACAGCCAGTGGGGAACTCCTGTCTTTTACTGCCCTGCAACGTGAGCCGCTGGACACGCAGCTTTGTGTCTGAATCACCTGGGCTTTGCTCAGCTGCTTTAAGAAATATAGACTTGGACAACGTGGCGCATTTGCTTCTTATCACTCTTGAATACTTAAAGAGGATTCATGGATTTTAGTAGCTTTCGCTGCTCTTCTCCCTTGGCTGAAAAACATCTGTGGTCTGGCTGTGCAATTGGAATTGAGTTCCTCTCTGGCTCTCCTGGTGTTTAAACATCAGACTCCCTGCATGAGTGGTCCCTCCTTTGAGGATTTTCCATTCCTTTAAACTCCAGCCTGCCTTGTACCAGTAAGAGAACATTTACAGTTGGGCCTGGCAGCCTTTCAGCCACGGTACCTTGAATTTCATGGGTGTATCCTGAATGTTTAGCTTTCAAAGACAGGGAAGAAGATACTATTAATTCATCCCAAGACCAAGAGGTCAATAGCAGGAGCAGAGAATGCTGTTCGTGGCTTCTCAAAAGTTTGGAGAGCTTTCTTTGAACAATCTCAGATATCAGATTGTTGCCCTGTGGTGAGGAATGCTTCCTTCTCTCCCACACACCTCCCTGGAGCAGGGTGCCTGCAGGGTTCCTGGGACACCAGCTCCACTCCTTGGCCTCAAACCAGCTGTGGTGCAATTGGGCAGCTGTTGTCGGAGGCAGGGAGAGAGCGTGGCTGGCAGATGGGAGAGAGACACCCAAGGGGGACACATGACTGGTATTAATAATGCTGTGAAAGTACCAAAAAGGGTTGTGGTACCCTCTGGTGTCCCTGCATTGGGCTGGCACTCACCAGCACAGTCCAACGCTCACAGAGTACACAAAGCTCCACTTAAAACATACCAGTTTCCTATCCAGAATTTATTAAGGACAAGAGTAACCTTCTGTTAAAGCACAGAAAAGGATTTTCCCCTTCTTTTGCAGTCACAGGAAACACAGGCTATGAACACTGGATCATTTTTCTCCCCTAACATACGTTTGCCTATTTTCAAAAGCAGCTTCTTGCTTCAGGGAAGCTGGAGATTTCTACCATGACTAGTAGAAATTTGTTGATTTTTTTTCAACAAATTCCCCCAAACATAAGAAAAGTCACCTGCTGGATAGTGCAAGTGGTTTGCCTTTCTGTTTCAAAGACTAAGCAAACCCAGCTTTACAAGATTCAAAAAGCTTTCATTACACCTGTTGTCTCAGGCTGCCTCACTTGCTGCCACAGCACGGAAAGCTGCCTTGGATCTCTCAGCAAAGCTGGATGCCAGACTGGCACCAAACCCCTGCTCTTCAAGATGGCCAAGGTCTCCTATGCTCACATTTATGTAATGCTGCATGGGAGGGCTGTAACTTGCTTGCCAAATCCTGTTTGCAACTTGATTTTACTTCCTTTTATTCCTTCTGAACTTGCATAAATTTTGGTACATTGATTGTTTGCCATTAAACTGTGAACACAGTATGTCATGACAGAATATCGTAAACACGCTCTCTCTATTCCATACGCACAATTCACCTCTCTCACTGCTGCCTCCATGCTGGTTGTGTTTCAAAGCTCAAACTATGGATCACTCCATACACAAACAAATTATGAACCAAAGCTTTTAATAGCTGTAACACAGCTATTTCAGAAAAATGCACTCAGCTCTGCCCCTGAGGTAAGCAACTCCAGGAGATCTGGGGGTATTGCAGACCAGATAACACGCTAAGTTGTTCAAGAGTCAGCCTAGACTCAGGTTGTGCTAACTCTGAACTTGAAAAGGCTTACTCCTACATTAGTGTACCTAAAGGAGGAAAGACATTTATTAAGCTTCAGAGTTTTCCCATTTAATTAGGGCAGAGAGCTCCTGGGTCATATTTTAGTCCTGAAAAAGTCTCTAGAAAACCTAAAAGACACATTGCAAAGTTCCTGATTTAAAAAGCAATGCTTGCTCACCCACCATCAGTCCCCAAAGCAGCTCTCAATCCTTCATCCATCATGGTCAAGAGTGCTGGAACTTAAGTCCAATTAATGGTGACCAAGAAACGCGGGGGAGGAACTCACTGATGCCAACAGGGAGGGAAAAAGCTCAGAAGAAAGAGCACGCGTTTTCCTGATGTCCCACGTGACAGTGCTGCCAGTGCCCACGTCACCTTTGTGCAGCCTGCAAGCAGGGGACAATTTCTTTGGTGGCAGCCCTCAAAAAATGCCCATTGGAAAGTCCAGCTGTCACACCACAACAGTAATATGCAGCCCACTGATGACTGTGAAACATAAGGCTTAACAAAAACAGGCATTGCAGGCATAAAGCATCTAATTTGACCTGGTATCCAAACAAAGCTAATTGAGTTCAGCTGTGAGGGCTCGTTAGCTGGAGCTCTGTAAAAAGCTGGTCTTGGTGGTCATTTCCTCCTAAGGAGGCTTCTTAGCAAAAACTGCATTTCTTTTTAGAGGAAGGTAAGAGTTACAGCCTTCCTGTTACTGCTTTTTTGTTGCCTTTATTTTGTCAGGTGCGCTGTAGTTATCGAGAGCTGTTTCATTAGGGAGAACGTAGAGTAGACTGTTTAGCTTAAAGTTGTCTGCTAAGCAGTAAGTTTCCTGTTTTTCCCTTGCCCTGCCTTCACGCTGTCTTCAGACCTGTTTAATGATTTACCTGTTTAAATCTTTCAACACTGAAGGAATGAGCTGTTGTACAGTAACTCTAATTACTGAACTCATTAACATCTTATTGTTTAATTTATGCACAAATGATGCTTGGTACATGGTTTAATTTTTACACTGGAGAAGGTTTAGGTTCATCACAGCCTTCATTCTGCCAAAACCTTACAAATGGTATTTCAGGCAAAAAGCTTTGTGCTAATTAAAAGTCCTGTAATAAGCAATGAGAGGAGTCTTTATACTGTTTGGTTTTTAACTGTTGGCTGAATGAGTTCTGAAATACTGGAGCGCCCAAGTGTTTTGATAATCCACTGGGAGCTGTTCTGCAACAGCAACTGTACCTCATCCATAAACAACCAGTTCCTTATTTATTAGCGCAAATAAGGGCATGCAGGGAAGCCCTGCTATGCCTCAGCACAACCACGCATCAGGAGACCATCAGCCTGCTAGTCCACTTCCCCTCACCCACCGACTCCCCCAGGATTTTATCACGTTGGTCCTTCAAAATAAATCCATAAATAAGTCAGTGGATGCAGCACATTTTTGTCTTACCAGTAGTAGGAACAGCAAAGGATAGAAATGGCATTGAGTAAGTACCACCCTTTTTATTAATGATGATGTCCCTTTTTATAGCTTGCCTTGTGCTGTCAGAGTAACAAGCCTTGCCCTGTGCCAGTTGCCAGGTGATGTGTGCTGAGGCTGCAGGGAATGGTCTATGGACAGAGACTTTATTACAGGGTTGTCGCTGCCGTGCCCCAACAAACCTGGCAGCGAGACTTGAGCAGGCCTTGTGGCTCTGGCCCAGGGCTGGCTGGTGAGCGTGCCAGGAAGACTGTCTTGGTGGCCACTCTGTTCACTTGCAAGTCCAACAAATATTGCTGCCTCTCCAGCAACTGGCTGGTGGGAAGGAAAGGGCCAGTCCAGCTACACGGTGTCAAGAGGTTCCTCCCAGCACAGCTTCCTTCGGTTTCACACTAATTGTAAATAAAATAGGAAGGGGCACCAGATATATCTCACAACTGATTTGATTGGTGACTATGCAAATGTGTCCTCTGCCCTGCTCACAGGGACTGCCGGGCCAGGGAGCCCTTCATGTGCTCCCAGTTGTTGTACAGAGCGTAGAGGCCGGTCAGCGTCAGACCCGCGATCCCACCTCGTGCTATCCCACGCATTCCACCTGAAACAGAAAAAAAGAGTAAAGGTCATTGAAGTTATATTTGAGGAAATGGTCAGTCAACAGCACTTCCAAGAAGATCTCTAAATCCAGAGACATTTTAATGAAACAGGTTTTCTTTTTTGAGTAACTTTCCAGAAAGGGTCCTTGTGCTAATTCTACCTTTCTCTCAAACCTGCTGCCAGGCTTGAGGTCAGTCATTCCTGATTCTGAAACTAATTCTGCTGGTATGGCTTCCTCTCAAAATGTGCCTCATGGAACCACTAGAGAGCCCCGGAAGCAAAGATAGCTTTTCCCAATCTATTCCATCTGTCCTTAACAAAATTGTTTACAGTTAGGTATGATCTCTTCCTGCTGTAAGAACTCTTCCATTTAGGTTTTCAGAGGAGGAATATGTTTTTCAGTTATGGTAACTAGCTCTGGGTGGAAAGAGAAAGGGCAGGAGGGAAATAAGTGAACACAACAGCAGCTGATGTGGACATGGCTTTGGGCTCCAGAGATTTGTGAGGGCCATTGTGCAGAACCTATCACTGCTTTTGTGTCTTCAGAATTTTAAAACCCTTTGATTAAAAAAAAAAGTAGATGAAAGGGATTAACTGGCAAGACTTTACTAGGGTGTACATTGACCAATTTATTTAGTTTTATTAATATTCAAAATTATCACCTCACAACAGCGAAAATTGAGTCACACAGGTGATTAAGGTTTGTGAGCACCTTAGTGTAAGGCAAAAAGAGAGAGCAAGTTTGGCTACTACGTGGCTGAAGCTGGGAGTCAGATGGCACCCCAACTCCATTCCATCCATGCAAGTGCTGGGGTGTACAGGGGCAGAAGTAGAGACTTCTGATGCTTTTGCTAAACAACAAAATGTTTCTATTCCTCAGTAGTAGGAAGTGCCTCAGTAGAGCTCCCAGAATGCACCATAAATGCACAGGAACAGCTGAGAGTATGACCCTCAATGCTAGGAAAACTTCACTGAGGTTGATTCTGCAATGTTTATCATTGCAGCTGAAGCAAGTCAGATAATGTGTACAGTGTATAGAACAAGGCCAGTTTCTGCTGACAGTGAGATAAAACCTGTCTGCTTTATTGGTGAAACTGGCAGTACAATTCAGGTTCCTCAAACTTGAAAGCAAATCCATCTCAGTAATCAGAGAGATTTTTATTTTTTTTCCCCTTGTGGGTCATCAAGTTGTCTCACAGAATTGCTTTTAGGCTTGCATTGGGGCACAAAGGTGATGGTGTCAGTTAGACTGAGACTGTGTTACTTGTGTTGCAAGGTTAAAATGGATTTCATTGGATTTGTTAAACCTCCTCCTATTGCCCAGGCATGCAATGAAACCAAGAAGCTGCAGAAGTGGGACTTGATACTAGAAGCCATGTCTAGTCATAGTTTCTCAAAAATTCATTCCCAGACCAGCTGTGACCATTTGAGAGTTCTTTGGTGTATAAGCCTAACTACCGAGAATTCAACAGCTCTAAGAAAAGCCTTACTGAGTATGCTCTATGTGCCTAAATCAGCATTTAGGAAAGCAAATGTAGACTTCTGTGTTTGCTAATTGATCATGAATTTGTTGCACAAATAGCTTTTCATATGAAGGGGTTGCAGCTGGGTACACAAAACTAACCAAGTGCAAGCAGTGTCTGGCAAAAGGCCAGAGGTGAAATTTAAAGGACATTTTGTGCAAAACAAGTATTTGAGATAATCTGTAAAAATATTGACTCCTCGTTTCTGCTGGGAAAAATGAATAAAACATTAGAGCCTGACTTTCTGTTGTTCTTATCAGGAATGAACTGATCACAGCAGAAACCCCCAAAGGGGGCTCATAACCATTAGGGTGTACAGGGAAACGCACAGAATGTGGAACATCCCCACACAACACAATGCAGACAGAGCTATGACTATTCCCATGGGTTCTTCCCTCAGCCCCCAGGTTCAATTCTTCTCCTTTCCTCTTAAAATCCTATTCTTCTTATGGAAGAACAGGTAGTCGAAAGCTGATCGAGCCTGGTTCCAGATTCTATGAAGTCAGGATTGTACAAGAAAGGTGTCATCTTTAATTTGGATAGCTGAGCCACTTTGTAGCATCATGTGGACTCAAGGCACAGTTCTGCTAAGATGTACCACTTCTAACACAACAAATGTTGGTATTTCCATGTGCTGAGGCCAGCCAGGTAAGGATGGCAGCTCTGAACCCGCTTACAAGTGTCAACCACAGGGCCTAAAGCCATCTGTAGGCTGACAGACAACTTGGGGACATTGCTGAAGATGTTTTGTGAACAGGAACTAAACTTGTGCATTACTGAGAGAGAAAATATCCAAGGAAACACGCAAGAAATGTTTCCTACCAGGTCGCCTAAGCTTCTGCTACAAAACATTAACAGTAATTTTTTTTTTTTTTGGTAGCAGTTTCTCCTGGTTTCTGAGCTATCCATGGTAAATACAAAAAAAAAGAAAGAGAAAACTTTCCTTTCCCTAACTGGTCAGATTTGCATTTGAGTAAATACGTGCAGGTCTGTGGTAGACTTCAAACAGTAATGCACTGTCGAATGCAGCTCTGTTGCTGGGCAAAAATGTTAGGCCCTCTGAGTAAATTAACTTGTTAAGAAAAATAAAAAAGAAATTCTCCACTCCCATCCCAGCTGTGTTTGCATGATAGAACATGTTCCCACCCCTCCTCTGCAATCACTCTCTGCAAGCCTCTGATACCAAGTCTGCCCTGACAAACCCTGCTGAAACATGGTTGCGAGCCTCTAATCTTGCACGTCCAGGTAAGATAAAGGTTCCAGCTGACAGATGCTTCTGGAAGCAGGTATTTTGAGATCAGGCACCTTGCACAATAGTTGAGAACTGCTATGGTTTCCATACATCTGATGCTCTCTAAATGGGAGTTTAGTTCTCTGGCTTTAGCTGCTGCACCCTTTCACCATAAAGTATTCTGTATTCTGTGCATTTACAGTAGGTTCCAGCGTACACTGTGCCATGACACACAGCACTGCACTCCAGTGCAGCTGTGCCATGACACAGCATTCCAATAACACAGCTCTGCGTTTCTTCATGGTAGGAGCCTCTCCTAACACTGAACTGGACTTGTGCAGTAGGTAAAACCATTACTACGTACCATAACATGAGGGCAAAGTCCTCAGAACCTTGCGGTCTCGATTTTCAGAATGTTACTCCACTACGCTGGGACAGTTCCTGGGATGTTACAACCAAGAACCATCCAACAGCACACACTGGAAATACCTTAACTGAAACCTCAGGCTGGCATACTTATGCCAAACAAAAGAAGTGTAATCATTAAATAGTGATTAGTTTTCTGTCTTCTAATCTCTCTCTTGGATACTCTGAATGAAAATAGTTTCTCTTCCTTTCAGGCTTCCAGGAGCAAAAATATTTTTTTATTGAGCTCAGCTTCTCAAACGTACAGGGCAATCTCAGTTTTGTTTCAAATTAAAGCACAGTGGTGCTAACCAGACCACCTGAACCATCAAGACATTTGTTTGAACATTTGTGGGTGGTCCTATGTCATTAGAAAATACGAAGTTTCCTCCTGCTGCTCCATGGTGTTTATTTTATGAAATCTTTAAAGTGTGGGCAAAGTCTGTGGATACAGAAATTACTGAAGAAACTGATAAACTTATATACGGAAGCAAGATACATTCCAAAAAAGCAAGCTCCATTTTCATATTGCTGCAGCTAAGGCAGTATTGTGGTTAAAATACAGAAACAACAAAGCTTGAAACAGGGAACATTTCCTGTACTTACTGAGCTATGAAGGCTAAATTAGAAAAACAGTAGGAGTTAACAATTTAATTTACAAGTTTAGAAGTAGTAGAGTTGTTGAAATAATGCTGCAAACATGATTAAAATTTCCTGTCTTCTCACTGAGTGAAAGCGGCAGCACCTGAGTGACAGGAGGCTACTTCAGCTGCTTTAAATGGCACCTGCAAATCCCTGCAGGAATGAGCCCTCAGTTCATTGTTCCTGCCTAGGTGGGCTGGGCAGCACTGAAGGCAGCACTACTCTCAGTGGCCACTCATACTCTTAGACATCAGTCCTCATGTAACTAAGAAAGCCTCAACAAGCTATCATGCTGCTTGTACTTTGCCCTTATCTCTTCCTGCTTTCAGATCTGAAACAAAATCCTTTCACTAAACACCATTTGACTGATAATCCTATGGACCTGTTCTGCTGAAAGAGGTTTTAAGAGGTTCTTAATTTCTAAAATGCCTGACAGCCCTCAACTTCAGTGCTCAGAGGCAAACCCTTTACTTGCTTTTCTCCAAATAATGCAGAAAAGTAAGATATCCCAGGCCCACACCTGTAGCAGTCCCCCAAAAGCTCCTCTTTCCCCCTCTCCATGCAACAGGAACATAAAAACAATCCTGTCTGGCCCAAAGAAAAACCCAGGTTGAGCCCAAAGGGAAGAGGCTTTTTATAGCTCAAGAAGTAGTCAGCTAACACAACTGCCCTGAACCACCCACTGAATGCCACAGAATTGATCTTGAGCTCCAGCCAGACTTTACTGCTGGCAATAAAACATTCATAATTCATAACGTATTGACTTTTCAGGGTTGTGTTCTGAGGTCTTAAATGACAACTACTACCTTCAGCTCCTGCTAGCATGCAGTTCCCTTCTTCTCAGACACACACACCACTTTATATACCAAATTACATAACATCTGTTGTGCAAAAGGCATGAGACGCTGTGCTTAGTATCGGGTTCCTACTGCACAAAAGTAAATAAAACAAAGCAATTCAGTTTTTCCAAAGCACTAATTTACTTTTGTTCCTGTTACCCCTAACCTTGGGGAGGGTAATTATCTAAGAAAAAGAACATCTACAAGCTGTGTAATCCTCATATAAGAGGTAAAGGTTAGTCAACTTTTTTGCTTACTGAAGTCTGTCAGGAATTTCAGTGAGAAATTAATGGCTGTCACACGGGGTCAGACCAAAGTCCACCTAGCTCACTATCTTTTTCCTTAGTGATCAATCCTTGAGGAGTGCAAGATCCTCAGTCAGCTGTACCTTGGTGACATGATGACTGGAACCATGTGCATTTTCATGGTGGGAGGTAATAACATAGTGCACTGTGCCAATCATCTTTTGTTACTTTTGGTTACTAGTAAAATTATGAGGAAATGAAAGATGTATGGCTTAGAAAAGAGGTTGAAAACATGTGCAAGGGGGCTAAACATTTGTTTAAGACGTGTTTATGCTTCATAACATTTATCAGAAAAAACCCTGGCATAACAGATATTAATTTCTGCCTTTTCTTGAAACTGAAGAATAAAGAATAGTATCTTATTAAATGGAAAAACCATCCTTGTTTGGACTTAGGCTATCCAGACCCCCTTTTAGCAAAACTCAAATTGAACTGGCTGAGTCACAGTAACATTTCTAACTACATATGCCACTGACACAGGAACACAAAGGGTTTTATTTTGTCTGTCACTCAAACTGAATGTTCTGGGTAGAAGTGGTGAGCTCAAAAAGCAGCTTCCCTAAAGTTGTAAGTCTGGTGAAACAAGTTAATACTGTACTCTCGTTACTACATTTGGGCTAAAATCTAGTAAATAATATTGGTATTGAATTTAATTTCAAATATGTGAAAGCTAGAGATCACTTTGGTCAGAGGAATCAACCAGTATGATGTTTCAAAACTGCTTAAATCAGTTTTATGTTTAAACTCAATTCAGTGTCTGTTAACCTAAGCCGTGCAGTGTGGGGAGATGGATTCCAGCTAACACTTGATTTATAATGGGGATTTAATGGCTTTAGTCACCTGCAATGGGGAACTTCCAGTGACTACTGCCACTTCCAGTGAACATGGGGGGGGCTGAACTGCCACAGTTTGTCCTCACTTGCAGACTTTTCAATCCTCTTTTATCTTCTCACACACAGCTTGTGTATCAAGTAGCCTTGCACAAAACTGCTCACAATCCAATGGCTTTAGAACATACACATTCTGTTTGACTTCTGGCATTTTGGTAATGATTAACACTTCTACAAGGACAAATTGTGAAAATTGGGACCAGTTTGGGGCAACAAATCTCAGCTTTCAAAAAGCCTTCCCACTACTTTTTTTTCCCTGTTCACTCATCAAATGCTTATCATTTGTTTAAGAAATTCACTCTGGGCTTTGCCATGTACACAAGAGGATTTTTCAGGGTAGCACGGCTGCTGATGTGATTCTTCCATCAGTGCTGTGTTTAAATATGAAGTCATGATTAAAAGACCTCCATACGTTATAGGTTTCCTCTTAAGTATGTTCCTGATCTCTTTACAAAGCAGGAATGATGGAAGTGGGAAATCTGAGTGTTTGAACAGCACTGTTTCCAACTCTGTAACTACACTTTGTGAATTACAGAACAGCCTTGATTTGCAATGGCATGTTTGTGGGAGTTTCCAGCTGACACTAAAATATGGAGGTTTATAACTAAGTGTCCTTGACAGCTTTTGAATTTTCCTTTTTTTTTTTATGCCAACACAACCTGGCATTCCATGTAACAGAGGAAATGATTACAATCTTGATATGTCACAGATGTGTGCTGATGATTTGCATGGCTAAATATTCAAGGTTTTTTAGGTGAATATATACATTGATGCTGAGCAAAGGCAGAACTTAGAAGTTTTACCATATAGAACAAGAAAGGGCATTCTGGCATAAGGTTACAGGAGAGGTAGCATGGGAGAAGCAGCAAGAGGGGAAAAAAAGAAAACATTGGAACTAAATTCTTGAAACAGATGTGAATATAATCTTTTTCACTTTGAGAACTAATCCTTGATCTTTGAGGTCACATTTCCTGCATCTGGTGAAAAACTTATTTCTTTTGAGTTTCTCTGCACTATGGTTCATATGGGCGACACATACTTGAAATACAAGACTGTAATGAATACAGATTTACTGACTACATTTGCCTTTATCAGTGCTACTATTAGCTCAGTAGATCTTATGTTACAAAACAGAAAGTCCCACTGTGCCCTGGTTAGAAAAACTTCAGTAGTGTCAGATGACTGTGCATGTGACTGGGGGAGTTATCTGTGGTTGCACTGTGCCAAAACAAGATTACAGGTAATGCCAGCTCTGTACTTTTGAAAGGTAAGGGGGAAAGTTCTGCTGGAGACTAAGATGGCAGTTCTCCTTATTAACCTCCTACAGAAAATGTTAGACTTCTACACTGCTACCCTATCTGGCTGTTATTGCTAACCTGTCATATCACTCATGAAACCCCAAGGAAGCAGCAGATTACAGGAGAGCTGTGTGCCCTTGCAGAGTTAAGAGCACAAGCTGGTATTTATGAGGGCTGCCGAAGCCAATTACTTTTGGTTTCAGTTAGTCTAGCCCAACAGGAAAATAAGACTGCTCAAACTGTTTTGCCCCATGTATAAAGCTGGACTTCAGGAATGCTTTTGAGACACTGAGGCTCAGCTAGATATGCAAAAGTACATAGGTTAATTCTAGAATTATCTCCTCAGTAAAATGCAGGTGACTCATATAGCCAGACCTTTATCGAGTTACTTAAGGCTTTTCTCCATGTGGTAATATCAGTCTGTGGTACCCAGCAGTTCTCTAAAAAAGATGACACCTCCAATGGTCAACCTTGGAACATGTGTTGACAGACATTTTGCTGAGGAAGCTCAGACTCTCTTCTGCAAACAATTCAGGATGCATCAGCAAACTAACCTTAAAGCCATGCTGTTCTCAAATGATGTTGTTTGTTGATTTTGACCACTATGCAAAGACCAGAGTCCTACCACGGGACAACAGTTTCACCAACAGCTAAGTAATAACTTCATAAATACATCAGTTTCAATGTGTGTAGGGTTTTGTGCAGCTCTGGGTGCTACTATCCCATGAATTCCTATCACGTGAATCACCTCTAGAAAGTTTCATGTTCATGCAGTCAAGCTCTATGTTCTGTGTATTCCACCCCTGCCCCCACTCACTTTGCTTGCATTCACTCATGGATTTGGGAAAGAATTATTCCTGCTGTCGCTGAAAAACATGGCTAAGAATGAGGTGGGTATGTATTTTATACAACCTTACTATAAACCTGAGTTAATACTTGAGTGTTTCTTCAGGTATAACAGTCATAATTTGGCTCTCATGATTTTTGTCAGTCCTGTGCAAGTTGGAAAGAATCAAATTTAATTCAGCTTGATTTTTTTTTTTTTTAAGTGCAAGATGTCCTTAAGTAGTCTTAGTTGTGTGAAAAAACATTGTGTGGGTTAAGGGACTTTGAGCTAATAGCCATTTTACACTGTCAATTTTCTGAGCAGGACAGTATTTAGTAGAAGTAGTGAGGATCCTAATAACTAGGACAAAGCACAAGAGGAGGAAAAGGAGAAACACTTTGCTACTCTACCAGTGCTTTTGTATAGCATTCCTGTCAAGGTTCCAGCAGCTATGGTGTTCAGGTCATCTTCTGCACCTCGTGTTTTTTCAATGATGACTCCAAATGCACTGTAAAGTAGAGCTGGGGAAAAAAAAGATTAAGAAAACTCAAGTTAAAACCCCCATTGCCTGAGGCACAAGGCTTAGAATCCAGGCTTGGTGTAGCTATTTAGACTGTGCTTCTGAAGCACTGATTTTCTGCTTATTTAAAGGGGTGGAATCCTCTGAAAAATCCCACCTTTGGTGGTTTTTTCCTCAGACCTCTTTCTATTTTATAGATATTTAAATTAATATTAGATTGCTTGCGATTTGACATGCACAGGCAGAGAAGCAGCAGCTGGAAATGAAAACTTTATCCCTAGAGCACATTTTGCTCTGGGACAACTTTAGACAACTAGAAAGAAAAATGCATGGGCTTTTCAGTATAGATGCATCTATCATCTATGCATTGTGATGAAGGGAAAAGGCACCTCCATCATCACCCCTCGTGTATTTCATGCATGAAATGAAACACATTAAAAACCCCGCTTCTACTTCATGCTGACAATTTGAAATCTTTACTTTTGCTACAAAGCATGTAAATCATTCCTGAACAACAACAATAATGTTGAAGAGTTGAACAGCAGCATCTTTCTCCTTCCAGCACAGGCATGGTATTTTAGCTTGCCTTAGCAGCAAGTAGTATTAAGAGTGAGGGGAAGGAAAAGCTGAATTCAACATAATTTTTTTAAGCAGTTCAACACAGATGTTGCCCCTGTTCAGGAACAGAATGACAAAAACTGTCAGTAGTGACAAAAAGAATCTTTGAGATACAGAAATGCTGGACAAGCAAAATCAAAAGCAAAAATAATTCAGCTCCTTTGAAAGGAACTTCTCTGGTAGCTAGGACAAGACAGAGCTATATGAAATCCCCAAAGATAAAGTTCAGCTTAACTCTCTGATTTTGGAGGCTGTATTTTGTAGGAAAATAACAATTTGTTACTGGAATGCACAAACACTTTCTTGAGTAATCTTTCTTCAAACACAGCTGAAAAAACATGTTAATGTGTCACTTAAACTGGAACCTTGAACTGCAGTGTGTCTGCATCTCAGTTTTCAGATTTGGAACAAAAAATAAGAAAAACCAACCAACCAAAAAATGGCACAATAAAACTCACTAGGCATTCAATACATCTCCTATGAAACAAGTGCCACTTTTGCTGTAGTTCAGAATCCTATCTCTAACTGTGGCTTCTCTACTATGCCTCAGCAGGTAATGTCTTATCTGAATGGCAGCTAATCTGCTCTTTAGAAATAAGACTGAAACAAAATGTAATAAATGCAACTTAGCGTATGCTTTGATGCATTTCTCAAAATTCAAATATATGTAAGGTTATAACATGATGTAATGTGATTTAAATATTGCTAAGTTCCATTACAAGGTTGTAGGGCAATGAGTTCCATCATTATTCTTCTTCAAAATAATTTCATCAGTTTTAGATTTCTCCTTTCAAAGGTACTGTGTAACTCCTGGTCTTTTAAGACTGGGGAAGACTGAGGGTAGGGGGGAGGCCAAAGAGTTTGTATTCCCTAGGGCATTAGGTATTTCACTGACTTTCATGAAATCTCCAGTTTTTCTAAGGCAACTGATGTGATTTTATTTTACAGCCCATTCGCCACCCAAACCCCAGTTCACAGAAGTCTCTTTTTCATACATCAGGTTGTTTTTCTCTTTTTTCCTAATCCGTATTAGTTATGAGGAATATTTAGGTTTAGAGTTGGTGGTGTCATATGTCACTTTTCTAGCTAATGGACCATCATTAAAGGATAAATCTTTGTAGTCACTATCACTTTTCTACTTCAGACATATATTTTGTTGACTCTTTAAAGGGAAACAAACATCAGGTAGTTGATCACATGATCTCTGTAGGTTAGAAAAGTTACTTCAGAAGTATTAAATTATAATTTTTTTGCCTTAAGTTGTGAATTAACTGTAATTTATTAACAAATAAGCATTATCTATAATTTCTAGTAATTTCTTTTACTTTATAGCTAGAGTTCTTGTTTGTAATATAGTAAAAACTTTGAGATTTAATTAAAGGCTTTTGATTACTTATGCTTCAAACCCTATTTTAGCCTTTAATTTCTTTTTTGATGTCTACTGAAATGTCCTCATGTCCCAAAGTAAAAAACCTGCATTTTTTCCACAATGGATTTAATAAAAAAAATTTAGAGAATTCTGTTTAGAGAATACACAAATACACTTTCCCAATAATTACATCTTTAAATTGTTTTCCCTGCAAAAGAATGACTTTACTTACCCAGTGATCCCAGTGTGTTAGCCCACAATGCTCCTTGCCTTGTCACCATATTTAGAATTCTAAAAAGGAGTTAAAAAGGTATGAAAATGTTTAGTGCTCTGTGTTTACATCAAGGCAGTGTTTATGACATCAGCTCTTGTGTGTTTACACTACACATTTGGTTAATAAAACTGGAATAATGAACTGAAAGCTCTTCAAAACAAAACATTAAGGAAAAACACACAGCTTGGCAATACATTATCTCTATCACAGATAGTGTGCAGGCAATACTGAAAGCAAATATTCAGTGCTGTCAAATCTTAAGAAAACCTTTATCTCTTTTCAGAGCAAACTTGACCCTCGCCAAGACTCCGATCTCTTCCCTTCAAATGGCTTTCTAACCCTGGGTGTTCCTTACGTGGTGACTACACACAGTTACTAGAACGATGGGTATACCTGTGCTGAGGTAACTGGGTAAAAGACCTCTGGGAAAGCCAGTGCCCTTCTAGAAGGGCCACGTGTCAGAGGGTGGGGCGATGCCTGAGCCAAGTGGTGTGAGACTAAAAACAATTCTGAACTAAAGCAAGTCAGGAAAAAGAGAGGCAATCCTTTGCAATTCCATTTGTCCAACTTAGCACCAAGAGAAGGTGAAGAACCCTGGGTATGTCTGTATGTATGCTCCCAGACTAGCACTACAGAGGGAAAGGAAACCTCTAGTGCGCTCTCAGGGAAGCACAGTGACACTTCTTTTTGGCCTCAGCTGTCTCCAGAGTGGGGACAACAGCAGCCAGAAGAAATGACTGATCTTTATCTCCCAGCAGTGTAACACTATCACAGGCACAGTATTGCTCTGGACAGCTGACTACCACTGGAACTTGGTTTATCATTTAAAGCAATGAAAAAGTCACACGTTATGTCGTTTCTGTTTTAATTTTCTACTATTTTTCCTTTTTTTAAAATACTTTTCATTAGGACACAGGTCATTACTGAATATGGTTAGGAAATAAACTAAACAATAATGGAAAACTTTGTTTTGAAACAAGAGAAAAAAAATCCAAGAGGTTAGGGTACTGACAACCTCTCCTTAATCACAACCCCCACCCCCACTTCTTAACTTTACATCAATTTTGAATTGATGAGAAAATTGATAATTTTCATAACCATGACATATTGAGATATTTGATTCAAATTCATTAAAAAAAAATCTGTGCACATTTAGGATAAATTTGAAGGAAATCTAGGCAGGTCTCTTCCCTGCATCTGATAAGGAAAACACAGAACTTAATGTACTGTTTGAAGGTGATGACCTTCAGCAGGCCTTTCATTGCAGGGCCAGGATAACAGCAGGGTGTGCACTGACTGCCACCTCCTGGCCTCGACCCGCCAAAGTTTTTGCTTAACAACATGGTTTTGTCCATTCCAAATACATATGCAATTCTGTTCATCTAGACAAGAGCTGTAATTATAGTGGTGAATATTTTGATAAAGGGGTTGAATACAGAAATAGAATTTAAAATGGGGCAGACTGTACCAGAAAATAATAAGTTCCTCCTCTAAAATTCCCTTGTTACTAAGTATTCTGGGAGTGAAAATTGTTTTCCCCCAGTCATTCCACTCCTCCGATTTCCTATGGCTCCTTCACTTAGGTTTTCTTATAGTTGTGTCTAAACTACCACTAATTCTAGAAGAACCATCCTGTTGAAAAAAATGTTCCTGTTTCATACTGCGTTCTGTCAAACAATCAGGTAAGGTGAAATCATGGCAATGCCACGGGTGTTCATGGATGCCATAATCCAGAACAACTTCCACCTTACACCACTTGCTGAGCAGCATGCACCAATGCCATCCCTAATGCAAATCCAGGCAGGCCCAGCTTCTGCATTTTAATCTTCTCCTGGTTTTGAAAAGCTTGGGAAAGAAGGCAGACTCACTCTCAGAAAAATGACAGTAAAAAATAGCTCAAAGCAAACTCTGCTGCCTCTGGGAGTATTTCAACATATAAAAACACTGGTTTGCCTTTGAAGTAGATTTTTAGTAAACATCAAGGTAAGAATTTATTCTCAAGTATTTAAGGTAAGTCAGAGGACACACCAACTGTGACTAAATGAAACGCAAAAAGCTTGAACTGAACATCATTATAATGAGAAACATTTGATAACTTGTTGAAGACAAATGCTGATTCCTGTTTGTCCCCACTAAAGAAAAAAAAGGCATTTATTTTTGCAGTATATTCATATCTGATCTTGTACAAGGTTTCTTGGAAGAAACAGCTCTGTCACTAAGGTGTACTTTGCTTTGAGATGGAACACTTACTGTACGTTTCTAGGTTTTGACCACGGCATGTTCTGTGTCTCCTTCAAGCCAAGTCTCAAACCATTCAGTGCACCAAACGCTGCCCCTGGTTGGCACAATATCAGTTATTACTTTTTGAGAAGAAAAAGGAACAAAAAAAACCCTGAAACAATACTAGAAACAAATACTGAGAGCAGACTTCAGTGTATAGACTGAAGTCAAATATCTGTTCATTTAAGACTAGAACAAACAATGCCTTGCAGAACAAGACATTTACAAACTTATCAATTACTGTAGTGCACAGGTATAACCTGGACAGCTGGGAAAAGTGGAAAACACAACCACCTACCTGTCATACAACATCCTCCAATGGTAAAAAAGGCCAGCTCAAATCTGCCTCGAGTTTTGTTGGCTCCTGTGGGCAAGATAAACTCATCTGTGTCCTGAGGGAAAACAAAAACAAATGCTTTTGTATTTTCCAAGCCTATCTGCTTCAAAATGTAGGCCATATTAATCTTTTTTCTTTAATTCATGCAATGAACTAAAGATGGATACAAGTGTTTCTGGAAAATTCTTGCCTACACTAGCAGAGAGAGGGAATACAGTATGTGTATGCTTTATTAAGTGTGAAAAAGGATTTTAAAAAGATAAACTGAGAGCTTTTTTTTTCCCTGGATCTCTTAATTTTTAGAAATTACATCAGTCAGCCAAGGAACTCATATTGTGTGGGTTGTTGGTTGTTTTTGTTTTTAATGACTATTTGCTTAATTATTTATTACATCTTCCAGCAGGCAAAACAAGCCCTCCAAAAACCTTCCTGTTTTCTGATTATGCAGCACTGTTTCCTCACTGAGCAATCTATATTGATGCAATAATGCCTTAATTAAGGTTTTCCACTACTCTGACACTAAAGAAAAACCACCTTTGTGCCAAAAGAAGTATTTCCATGCACTGAAATAAGTGACCCATTTTGAAGAGGTGAAAAAAGAAGGAATACACTCAAAATTAATGATGAGGCGAGGTCAGTAGTTTTTTACTTGTGCATCTTCCTCTTACAGAGACGGGTTTGTGTTCTTGGGAATGGCCTAAGAAGCTGTAGAGAAACCAGTACATGTATAGAGATTAAGGTGGGCCAAAGAAAGTTTTCAATTAGACATGAACAGGATGCTCATGAACGTGTTGATGAGGTGCTAAAGCAGCAAGATCTCTTTTAAGCTTCTGTGCTTTCCAGACGTAGTATTACTCACCCCCTCTGTAACTGATACATGACTGCAACAACTGCAAGCTCAAGGAATTGCATTCTAAGGGGTTTTATTGGCCCATACTTGACAGTAAATGTGGATGGCAATAAAGGAAAAATATACAGCTTCTAAAACTGTGAATACTGTATCAATAAACTGAACCTGTAATATGGTTTCTATCTTCCTTCTAACTGGATTGTTGAAGAAATTCAGTGCATGCACTAGTTAGCAGTTTCTAACAGTTTTCACTACTGCCCCAAAAGTCAAGATGAACCAATCCTTGTCTGTATGTAACATTTAAGTTTCTATAACAACAACCGAGGAGTCCCATCCTCTGGGCTTCTGCCATAGCATTATAAAATGCTATTTTATAATGCATGTTACCCTCTGAAGGCAACAAAGCATTGCAGGAAACACCTTGTTCTGTGCCTGCATTAATGGACCAACCAAGTGGGTTTTAAATAATGAGTACCATTGTCTCATTTGTTATTATGGGAAGGCCAGAATCAAAATGTAAGGTTCTCAAAAATAAGGCTTTTCCTTTGCATTCAGAAAGCAAAGAGATGGTCTTTGAACAGAGGAGACCCTCACCTCTCTTTTTTTCACAGAAATCCCAAATTTAAAGGCCAATAATTTAAGTTCTTGTATTCTAAAATATTAGCTATTTCTTTTTCCTTGAATATTTAGAATCCCAGGGACCTGTGGAGACTGCTTGGTGCAACCCACACTGCTAAAAGTAGGGTCAGGTAGTGCTGGGCACTCAGTCGTTCCCAGGTCTTGTGCTTCTCTAAGGATGGAGACTCCACAGCTTATCTGGGCAACTTCTTCAGGTAAAAAACTCAAAACTTTCTCACATTTAAATGGAATTCCCTTTTTATTTCAATGCACTTTCCTTCTATTTCAACACACTAGTGCTAAACTGAAAGGCAGTGAAGTGTTATAACACAGACTGTAGCGTATGTGTTACATCAACGGGTATTTTTAGAACTGTACCACGACAGTGATGCCAACACCTTTTAGTTTAAAGCAAATTTCTCTTCTGTTTTTAAAAACTAATAGTATATACACAGGCTTTGTTCTACAGCCTCTGCTATATCACTTTTAACACCAACATGTTCTCAGATAAACTGTACTAAGGACACAAGACAACTTTAGAGAGTGTTTTTGGGAGAGGTCTAAATAATTACTCAGCATTTTTCTGACCACTTGACAAGAGCAGGCCCCACTAGTGAACACACAAACAGAGGCATATCCCCTGTTTTCTGCCATTATGGGAATGTTACATTGTATCTGGGCTATAACAGCTTCTAATGAAAGAGAAACATAATAAACAGCCCCCAGAACTCCATTCTGAGCTTCCAGTTACAGAATAAACAGTGTACCATCAAACATAAGGCACACAGATAAGCAGATCCTATGCAACTGTGCTAATTCTACAAAATTTAATGTTCTCAGATAATATGAGCCACATATAGAGAAAAATATTAATAAAATCATTAAGACATGCATCCTAATTGGACTGACTTAAACATTTTCAGCTACAGTTAATATTGCAGAAAAAGAAAAACATTACTGGAGTTCAAATAACTTTTTTTCCTTATGGTGCCATTATTTTATATTAAGTAATGTTAAGCTGTGCGTGACAACCACATTATTCTGTAGAACAAAATGGGAAGTTTCACTTTGTGATGGTCCCCCTTCAGCTGGGAAATGACTTAAGTGGTGTGACATTTGCTGCTGCTGTGATGACAAACCCTGTTATCAGGTCTGGGGTTTGGCTGAACACTTCTGTAAAGTTCAGAACTTCACAGAGTTCTGGAGACCAATCCCTGAATCATCATAATTCTCACAGTTGTGATGATGATCAGAAAACTCACACTTCAGAAAACTAATCCATGAGATGAGTGGAGAGATTCTGGCTGCTGTTACTGATTGAGGGGGCTCAGGGGAGGGTGTGACCAATGCCAGGACTGCTGTGAGGGTGCCTTGGGTGTGCCAGCCTAAGGGCAGGGAGGGACACCTCCTCTACTCACCAGCAGCAGGTTTGTATTGACACAACAGCCTTACCAATCCTCTGTATTTTCACTGGTTGTCTTCTACATGTCATGGCACTGCAAGCTTTTATTAGGTACAACACTCAAAAATTTTCTTTCCAGTGTTCACCACTCAATACCTCAGCACACCCTGCACAGCACTGCAGGAGTTTTGGGGTGTTCACGTGTGGTTGTGCAAACACTGGGATCGAGTTTTACACGATAAAAACAAACCCCCTTCTCACCTGTACTAGATACTTGGGGTCCAAGTTTAAATACGGTGACAAAGGGCTCATTCCAGTCACTGAAAGGAAAAAAACAAATAAACATAGCACTTTAACACCAACTTCCCCAGTAACGATCCACATCCTGTGAGGCAAAAGGGGGCACACCTCGTGCGCGGAAGCAGGGAAGATTCTGCCGTGAAGTTGCACAACTCGTTAAAAGGCGGCCCCGGCCTTTCAGGAAGCGGAACGGGAGCTCCGGGATGGGGCGGGTGCGGCGTGACCAGCGATTGTCGCGGCACGGCCGGGGCCTGGCCCTCCGCCCCCATCCCAGCAGGGGCAGGAACCGCCGGGGACCGTCTTCCTGCGGGCGGACCTGTCGATCCCCGTTCCGCCTTCCATCCCCGAGACCGGCCTCGCTCCGGCCGCCCGGCCCTGCCGCGCTGCCGGTGCGTGGACACTGCTTCCCGCCCCACCCCGCCCCCGCCGGCTTCCCCGGTACTCACGTGGCACCCCGGCGAGGTCGGCGTGCGAGTACCCGAGCCCGCCGGCGCCGAAGAGGCCGCCGAGCCCGGTGCCCTTGGAGTTCCCGCCGCCCTCCATGGCGGCCGCCCCGCCGCCCTCACCGCCCGCTGCCGCCCGGCAACGCCGCAAAGCGCCGCAAAGCGCCGCCGGGCCGCGTTGCTTTGCGGGTCACCATGGCGACGGGGTGAGGCGCGCCCGCCGCCATCTTGCCGCGAGCCGCAGGTCGCGCTCCCCGGACGCGGCTCGTTCCCGAACCCGCTGCCATTCCCGCTCCCGCCGCGCCTCGGGAACGGCCGGGCGTGCGGGGCGGAGGATGCGGACGGGCCGAGCCGCTGCCGCAGCGACGCGCCGTCCCCGGGGGGCGGGTGCCGGCCGGCCCCGGCGGGCAGGGCGGCCCCGCCGAGGATGAGCGCGGGCTGCGGGCGGGAACCGCCGCGCAAGAGAGCCCGGCTCGGCTCCGGCAGCCCCGGCGGCGCCCAGGGACAGCGGCAGGACGGGCCCGCGGGCAGCCCCGCCACCGCCGTGGGGAACAAAGGTTGGTTTGTGCGGGCCCGGGGCGGCGGGACGGGGCTCCCCGGGATCCGAGTGGCCCCCGCCCTTTGTGTCGCTCCGTGTGGCCGTGCGGGGACGAGCCGGCGGGTCCCTCTGCGCCGCCCGGGGCAGGCCTGCGAGCCGCTGCTGCCCCGGGCATCCCTCGGCGGCGAGGCCGCCTGTGCCTGTGCGCGGAGCCTCCCTGGAGCTGCCCTTCCTTCGGGCTGGAATTGTCTCCCGCTCCGGTTCCCGGCGTGTCCCGCGGAGCCGAGTCAGTGCGTGCTGCTCCCCCTTGGAGACGGCGCTGGGTGCGGGATCTTTAGCTTAGTTTTGTGCCTCTTTGCGAACTTGCACTGACAGCAGAAACCATCCCAGAGGGGTGCGAGCCGCCAAAGGGAGCGTGTTCTGTGGGAGAGAAGGCGAATACTTGCTGCAGGAAAAATGGCTTTGGGCGGGGATTGTGCCGGGCTGTCACAGGGAGAGCCGAGAGCAGTGACAGGAGCCCACATGGGCTGTGGCTGCCGGCCCGGAGCGCTGCTGGCCCCGTGGGGCGGGCCAGGGTGGCTGCTCCTCCTGCCGCCTCGCAGAGCTGCCCGGAAAAGTTCCCACGTGGCTTCCTTAGTTTTGTTTCTTGTTTGGAGCTAACGCTGCCAGCATAAAATTTTAATGCACGACAAAGTGCCTCTTTCAGGAATAGAGAGGAATGGAGGGAAGGGGAAAAAGACCCCAAACAGATTTGCTGTTATCTGCAGCAGGTGAGTTAAACCCCAGTGACCAGCAGCTGAGAGGCAACTTTGAGCAGATAATAGTTCGCAATTGTAGGTGTGCGCTCCTACAGAGTTGGAAAGTAAGTTGTTTTTCTCAGAGGTAGACTGTGGGGAGTGGTTTGTTTTATGGAAATGATTTGGGGAATCTTGAGTAGAAATTTACAGACTACTCAAAAAATTACAGCAAAGTCTGGATCTGTTGTTTACTCTGAAAGTAAGTTTGTGTTGTCTTTTTGTTGCCTGTTGTTTTCACCTTTTCTGTAGCAAAAAGCAATACTGGTAGTGTGAAAATGGTGTGTGTTACGTTGGGTGTAGGGCTTACATGGTTACTCAGTTGTTAAAGTTCAGACCAAAGCCATTTTGTTGCGATGCTGCTGCCATAATTTCTTTTTATTGTGCTGTGAATAAGTATTTCTTCCTCAACACAAGTTTATACTTCAGGAGGTAGTCAGCTGCCTTTGAAGAGGTTCATTTGTCCCATGTTTTCACGTCTTTTCAGGTTGGTTTTTTTTTTCCTGGCTGCTGCTTTTCCCTTACCTGTGGGCAATTTGAGTTAACACTTCAAATGTAGGAAGGTGAAATTTGGTAATCAGAATGACTAATAGACTTCAATTTAGTGAGTCTTTAGAAGTAAAAATACTGTAGTTCATAAAATCTGTCCATTTTTGTCTGAGTGTGGTGAGGCTGAGCATTTGTTGGAACTTAGATTATGGCACAGGTATCTTTGTGCTTGTAACCTGCACACAGCTTGGCATTGCTCTCTGGTCACCCAGTCACATAATGGCAATTTTGTGCTATTATTTGTGCCATTATAGAGGAACTTAAAACCAGTTAAACATTTTCTGGAGATTAATTCTCATTCTAGAAATTCTCATATCCTCTGACGAGGATATTTGATAACCAGCTGTGGAAAAGTGTTTATGAAACAATGTCTCTTAAGTTACCCATGGCCTAAGCTGCCTTTGATACAAGTTACACAACCTCCATTTGCAGAAAAAGCCCCTAGTGACTGTTAAATTAGAAGAGCCAGGTCTGCTGTGCTGTTTTTTAAGTTCTGCAAAACTATTGTTACAATAAGGGCACTACAAATGTTACCTACCCATTTGAAAGCATTGAGTAAACACTTTGCACAGTCAGCAGTAGCAGGCAGGTACTTTCTCTTGGCAAATGGAAAGCAAGAAAATGGAAGCTAGTTGCCACATTTGCAGAATTACCATTAAATAAAACCACCAAAACACAATTAAAAACTCATTATACTAATGAAGATATTTCCAGTTGTGAAATAACTGCTTTGAGTTTTTTCTCCCTAATCCCCCACCCAGGTTTCTGCATAATTAGTTCAATTGAAAGCTTATCTGAGATGCAAAAATATACAGATAAGACTGGAACTGTGTTGTTGGTAGTAAATCTGAAAAAATTCTGTCCTTTGTTTTGTTGCTGTTTTTGAGTAGTAAGCATTGAAAAGCTTTTCAAACCGTTTATGAATGGAGGGGGAAAGAAGAAGTCCTTTTCGGAGCACTTGTCACTTATAGTGTGTGCTATGGTTATATTAAGCCTTATGTTTCCCAGTATGCTACATACAAATAAGGTTCTTGGATGGGTCCTCTAAGATGTCTAGTTGTTCATTCTTTGTTTCTTTTAAGCTATGTCATGTTGGCTCTTTGTTCCAAAATTCAGCAGAAGGTTTTGGGACTCGGTGTGGTGGTGATTAAAGGTAATGATGAGGCTGGAAAGTTCAAATTGTCCCCTTTTTTTTCCTAGAGATTCACTGTATATTCTTAACCTTTTAATGATATTAAAAGAATGATGTTGGATGAAAAAAAAAACCCGCCACACACCAAGCCTGGAATTTATAAAGATTATCACAAAAGCGACAGCAGATTAAATATTGCTGGTGTCTGGATGCTCCCTACAGTAGAGATGCTAATGAGGATGTAATTGAGGTGTTTTATCCTCATCCAGTACAAGTTACCTTATTCTTATGCAATGACGTTGCAGTTTTATCGTGTTCCATGTAGTAACCAGTGAACTGTGGTTTTTCAGTTTGCAAACAGCAGACAATTACCAGTTGGTTGGAGAATAAAGGACCCAAGACAACGGAGTCCAAAAGGTAAAATGCACAGCATGTCTGTTCAAAAGTTGTGTTCTGTGAGTCGGCCTGGGGGGAGATACAGGTGCCAGTATAGCTGGATAAGTAGAGGCAGCCCCAGTTCTGCTGCTTTCCTTACCTTGGCACATCCTCTTGAGTTACTAACTGAAAGACTTTCACTACAAAAAGCTAACTAGTCCCCCATCCCTCTCTAAACCCCCAAACCCAAACTTTTTGCTGACAGAGATTCCTGAAGCATCTCACAGTTTAGGTGAAAAAACATGGCTGTTCCTACAAAGAAAAAGATGGGAACCTGCAGCAAGGGAAGGCAAAGCAGGACTTGCTTCCAGTAGCAGTCAACACTGGATCAAGTTAGCTGTAGTATCAAACTATGTCCTTGGTCAACAGCTCTGCTTTCATTTTTGTTTAAAATAGGGCAGTAACAGTTACAGATTTTGGCTGATAGTCCTATGGTCAACTCACAGTTTTGTTGTTATTTTACATTTTGGTTTGTCTCACTGGACTGAGGTTGTAGTTTAAACATGGGCAGCTTGATTTAGTTTCAACCAGAATTTACAGGTGCTCAAATGTGCATTCAGGTTATTTTATGAAAGATGTTCCAAAAGTTTTGCTGCTGAATGGCTTCAGGTAAAGTTTGGTATTTTTCGCTAATGTGCTGTCTGGAGCAATGATTGCGAGGCAGCATTAAAATTAAACTCCAAAGAGTTTAACTATCTGGTACAGAGCAATATCAGATATTTTTCTATAGCTGCCATTGTAAAAGTGCTAGTTTATTTTTCATTGAGTTTCTTCTAATAAATACAAATTGAAATCTATATCAGTGCTAAAATAGCCGGGAAGACTCATCCTAATGATTAATACAGAAGTATGCAGAGCTAATTAGAGGCTCACAGGTTGCAGTAAATCAGGGATGTTAAAAGGATGCTTAAGGAGGAAATTAATTATTTTTTTTAATTCCCTTTAGAATAGTGTTCCTCCATCCCTGCTAACAAATTACAGCCTACTCAGTTTTAAGCAGCAGATTATTCATGTAAACATTTCATGTGCCTTTCTATTGCAACTAACATCACAATTTTAATTTAAACTCTGTCCCTGTGTTAGATTTGATATCTCAAGTTGGCAACATGTTGTCAGTACCTTTAAAGAGTCATTCAGGTGGCACCAGTAACATAAGTTTCATTTCTGTTCATCAAAATTTTCAGGGACAAATGCAGACATGGGAAATTATTATAACATAAACCCCTCTAAAGTCCTTTCCAGACTGTCATCTGTTGCTTCAAGCCCCCTTTTTTCTTTTTTGTTCTGTAGTGGTAGGAGTACGAATGCTCTGTCCTAATCCTGAGTGGTCTTTTAGAAGAGGTCTGTTGTCATTCATGGAGAGAATTAATGCCTTCAGGAATCTGCTAAGATGTTCAGTTGCTGAATTTAGGATTGGGTGATCATTGCATATTTTCCTTTTTACTGTAGATGGGAAGCTGGGCAATGACCAGACACAGAGTTTGGTTTGCATTGGTAATATACAGAGTTGTAACAATACATTCAAGAGAAGATACTGTTCAGAGCAATGTATTCACCAACACTAATCAGGGTTTTTTTAATATTCATGTGCCATCTAAGTAATTTTCTTTATCAATACATGGACACACAAATTAGTTTGTAAATGTGAAATGACTTTTCTATGTCTTCTTGAAAAATTTCATC